GAAATGTTAGATGCTTTTCGGATTCACAAGCAGGCGGTATTACTCTTCATAAAAAAACTTTTCATGAAGTAAAAAGTTTTCAGAGCAGTGGTGAAAACTGTTGTTTATAACAGTAATAATCACGACATTAAGAACAATTAAGAATCATATGCATCTAACAATGATTTTGTAATAAAAAACAAACAAATGCAGCTCCGAATTTTTTGCAACGACACTGGTAAAATTAATCATGTTTTCGCCGGTTTGTCGATATTTTGATGTCCTAACACGGGGGTGAAAAGGGGTCAATGATGAATGGGGGTTAAGAGTTGAATATGAACCGGGTAATGATCATTGTAATCAAGACGAAGGTCCCATTTATTATAAAAATATCTATTATGAAGTTGGTAAATTGTTTCCTGATATAAAGCAACAACTTGTATAATAAATTACACATTCACTCTTCTTTCGAACACTTGGTTCATCCTTACGCATAATGTTTAGGAATCTCAAGAAATTGTGACTGTGTAATTACAGCGTTTCTCTATCGCACGAAAAAATAATCTCCTGAATACGTAGTTGAGACGGGTTGTGGCCAGTTCTTAAAGAAAACGCTGTATATTTTGTAACCATTGCACGTAGAAGATTAGAGATTGCAACTTTAAAGCTTAGAAATTCAGCCATTCAGAAGCGTAATCTTTTTCGATTATTAAAAATCAAGATATTACGAAAATATTGGTGTACGAAATTACCTTTAAGGTCTTAATGCACAATTCTTTGTGATGTGAATATGTATGCTGCATACTATAAAGAAACATATTTAGGGGTTGATGAAGCAAACAATTCTTTTAAAAGGGGATCGATGGAAGAAAAAGGTTGGGAATACCTGTTCTAGCACTTCAGTAAGCTTATCGTTTGTAAATGGCTTCCACGGAACAATAAACAAAATACTTAACCAATTTTTTTAGTAGATATTTATTAAATTCCCTCATTAAAATCAGAAAACATTCAAATCTTATTACTTCAGTATTGTGTATTGACCTGCCAACGGCTACAAAATGTTTAATGCGACCTGCAGCTTTCGAATTTCGAAGACGCTGCTATGGAGCCTGAATTGAATAGATGAATGGATATTTCAAATTGGTGGGGCTTCGCCCTCGTTCTTTCTCTCGCAGCCCCATGTCAGATTTCTCGGATCTCTCCGGAAATGCCGCGCCGCCTGCAGGCGCAGTTCCTGATCATATCCACGTGTTACGCAAGGGCGCGTTGGCGTTGGGCGTTCACTTTCGTTGGAAGCTTTTAATCTGCATTGCAAAATTGGGTGGGCTTGACGAGTAATATCAGAACAATCTTGTAAAATTGTTAAATATTTTATGCATAGACATGATACAGCCATCGCATTTGTCTCTCTTTAACGTTTCTGTTCTAAATAGTACGCACCATTTTCCGATCGATGTGGCTGAACTCGAGGAGTTGCGAATTTGAAATTGATGTTTTAGGTGCTTTACATAGCTGATTCTTTTCTCAAATAAGGCAAAGAGCACTGTCGCAACACCAGTATTTGGCATGCGAAACAGGGTAACATTGAGAAAGCATTCTGGATATTCATTTTGGACGCAAGCCGCAGTGGCACAATTGCAATGACGTTTGGTGCAATGGCTACCATAAGGGCGGAAAACAACTACGTGAAATATACTTGGTCATGGGACAGTAATGTGTCATTTCGATATTTGCATTGAAAACCTCACGTAATACATCTCCGTAAACGGATCTAATTCTCGTTATTTCTTAAGTTATAAGAGAGGAGTACAACAAATAATGAATTGTTGTCAGTTCAGCAGGAATACATGTATTTCCGTTTCTGCAGCATGTACAATTTGGTAACATCATGGTGACTCTTTTGACACATCACACCATTTAACGATCAAATATGAAAGCATTGATGCTAGAAGCTCGGCAGGGATATTAGTGTATCTGTAATAGGAACAACATTGCGTTCTATTATTGAAAATCAAATACCATAAGTCTCAGAGACAAGTTATACCTTTATTTGTTCTCTCAGCATTCAAAAAGAAAAGTGACATGTTGATCGTGGGCTAGGATTAGGATGTCGAGGTTCAACATGCGCCCGCGTCCATATGAACTAACGCTTGAACCTGTAAAGAGTTCTTGACAGATGTAAAGGGGCCGTGAGCATGCAATTAGTTGCTTTATCAACGCAATGTGCAAACGTCGGCACAATCTGTGAAATACTCGGACAGTCGGCACAGGCTTCGTTTGAGCTGTTAAGAAAAAAGCAATATAAACGTCGAACACGTAGGCTTCCGCGGCTCGAATCCATAAATTCTCGGCTATCCGGGCGACGCCACGTCATTGAGGACCTACAACGACGCGGCGTCTCCCGGATAGCCCAGAATTTACAATATAAACTTCGATACGGCATACGAGTTGAGAAACATAACTCTGACACTAACGTATCGTTCTGTGCCTGACAGTGAGTGTCAGAGCGAAACCTTTATTGGGATTCTGTACTGTGCTTCAAAATGATCGAGCTCAGGGTTCGAATTTTTGGTGAAAGAGAGAAGAAAAAAAAATTGGACTTATATACAGTTATTTACAGGACTACGGCAAACGTAATTAAAGAAATAAGAAAACGAGGTATTTGTTAAATAAATGTGAGGATTAGGGCTGGTTGAGAGGATTGTGGTAATAAATATTAATTGCACTAGAAAAGGAACCTCAATAGAAGTTTTCTCATGGAAAAACTTGGGCGTCCCAGAGAATGTACGTCCTGTGCCTGCTTCAAAAATGTGCAGTATTTCATGCTCGTGAACAATTAGTACTAATGATCTTCCTCACTATAATCGAACAAGTCGATTGATTGAAGTTACCCTGGCACGTCATCTGCTATAGTAATTATTCTCATGAGTGCAGTGAGCGTTTTTCCCTTGAGGTGGCGATATTCCGCACCGTGGAAGTTGAGATCCGGCACCGACCTTCACATCGGCCTGCGGAGGATTTCCCCTTCCGGGTATCCCCCCAGTGGGTTACTGCCCACTGCTGAGGGAAGCTTCTGACTGCTCCCTCCCTTCACTTTTTTCAAAAACAAGTGATATAATTGGAATCTCCAATAATTAGGCTTTCAGTAATTGGCGATCTACTGTACTGGCCAGACTGCACATATAATCCGGGAGCGCTGGCACTCCGTCTGAGAGCCAGGGCGCCCCTGGGGCCTGTGGGCCGCTTGATGATGAAAGCGCGCCACCTGACAATGCGGGCCGCCGTGGCCGCGTATTCGGGGCAGCGCAGGAGCCGCAGGAGCAGCTGGAGCGGCCGATGCCGGTGGGCGCAGTGGGTAACGGGGTCGCGAACGTCGCGCCGCGCCGCGCGCCTGTGCGACTCCAGGGAGCCGACCCTCCGCCCCGACCTTCCTCTCCCCCTGCCACCCCGGCGCATCTGTGCCCACTAGCGACAATGTCCTCTCCACCGTCATTGCCGTCGCCATCGCCTCCGACATCTCCTCTGACATTGCCATTGCCTCCGTTATTACCACCGCCACCACCATCGCTATCACCACATTCATCATAGCAAGTCCATCCCCATCCACACACATCTCATCCGCAACATACCGCGTTGTTCACCCTGCTCAATTGTTTCAGCAGTGAAAATTTGTCTACCTGTAAGAATGTCATTCTTTAAATGACCCTAATACAGGCCCCAAAAACCGAATAACCAGGAAAAGAATTGCGAATACTTGTTCGAGGTGTCCCAATATGGCTTCTCATCACATTCTATGCAACTCATTTTCGCCTATGACTCAGTCATCTCAACGTAATCTTTCGTGCTAATTACCCTATGCTAAATCATAATTGGTACTGAACACGACACTTAACACTCATGAGTACATTTATTTTGATCAATACAAAAGCATTTGGCAATAACTCGCTGACCATGGAACCGTATGTTCCATGGGCGGTTTAGAGACCAGAAGGAGACATTTTTGTAAAAACGTTTCACTTGTAAGAAGGTACACCCAAAAGGAGGAGTCATTACCGGCAAGAGCCGATCAAAAAGTCCTCATTAAACGTAAATGAGCGGAAAGCCAAATCCTGTGCATACGCTTTTTGGTGTCTTACGCCGCCGCCTGACACTTGCCAGTGTTAATTGGCAGCTGTGTGTGTACTGGGCGCTCGCATTGCCTCAGTGCCACCTAGACGTCGCTCCCGCGTCGCGGGCGCCACTCGGTTGCGCGGTGGACGCAGTGGTGCGTTAGGCAACACGAGCCTTCCTCTTCCGCGGGAGAAAGCCCGCCTCTCGGCTGTGCGCGCCCTCCCACCCCCTCGCGTCTTTCCCCTCCTCCGGCTCCCCCCGCCGGCCGATGGCGGGGACGAGTCGAAATGAGGCCAGCGGCCGACATAGGGAGCGGTGCGGCTATTGGGGGATTACGAATCCTCCGCGAACGCGTTCACGAAAGATGTACTCATTGATGACGACTCGGAACACGGTCCAATTTCTGAGGCTGAGCTAAAATAAAATGCCGTTATTAAGGTATGTAGCTTTTTTGTCGTAGTGTTATAATGCAATAGAAAGTTACGAGATACGATGAGTGATCTCTGATATAACACAAGGGAATGAATATGTAAATATACAGATCATTACCGCTTTGAAAATTAAAGGATATTATTTTAAAATTGTTTTATAGAATTAATGTAAATAAAAATGTGTTCAGTTTTGATGGTGACACTCTAAGTTTACACTGAATTCTATTATAATTAATAATTATTATTCATTATTAGTAATTTTTATGCATACTCTGAAATTCAACTGCTGAAAAGTAATATATCAGGCGTTGTCGACGACCCTGAAAATAAGTAAACGGGGCCGTCATGATTTTATATCGAAAATGCGCTATTCAAACTTTTGCGAGGAAGGAAAGGTGAAAGTTGTTGTTTTTTGTTGTGTTAAATTTGTTTTGTTGCAAATTACTCAGATGCTAAATAATTGTTGTTTTTCTATTGCAGGTGAGTGTGAGCCTTTCCTGTTCGCGCTGAGTCACCGTCATTTGTGAGTGAACTCCTGACCTCTTCTCAAGGTCATTCCATTCTTTCCATCGAATGCTGTGAAAAATTTCAAAATTAATTTTCTTTGTGTACTCCTTGCCCAAAATGTAATTACTCTAAAAAGTCATTGCACCAAGCATTTTTTAATTATTGTTTAGAGAGGTCTAATGTTCAACTACCTTATCTTGTGTGCGCGTGTGCATGCGTTCGGGGGTGTACACCCTTCATGCAGAGTCAAAACGTTAAATTGTTAATAAAATCCCTTAGTTCATTTAAAAGTTTAAGTGAAATAAATTACGCAAATTCAACATAAAGTAAATTATAAAGTTTTACGTGAAGAATTATTAATTTTTTAAGGTCGCTTTTCAACAACTTGGTCGTATAGCGACCACTGTAATTCTTTCCTGTAGGGGTAACTATATGGAGAACACGTAAGGGCAAGACAAACATTCATGCCCGAGGCGGGATTCGAACCGGCGACCCTTCGAGCCGTGGCAGCTACGGCTATCCAGGCCGGCTATAATGAATTTGTATATCTAATGTCTATTATTTAAAACTCAAACTCTTTACAATTACTTCTGTGGAACGAACGTCCAGTTAAGTTCCAATTGGCGCATTGTCCTGAAAACACGGCATCTGGTGGTACGTAACATGTCTTCCTGAACAAAACGCCTCTCGCGATGTCGCGGGCTCTCCGTTGAGACAAGATTCGATTGATTGACTAATAATTAATCGATGATTTCGGGTGCGGGAACTGCATGGTTGTGTGCTTGATTTATAAAATTTTAGGCCTCGGAACGCGCAACGAATTATTAATTTAATTGAAATGTATAAATATTTATAATCTTGTGGCTCAGAGCGAAGTCGCTCACCTTTCACCAAGGGTGTCTGGGTTCGATTCCCGGACTAGCTTATGTGACATTTGTTCCAACAAAACGAGTCTTCCTGCTTCACCGGGGCTAGTCCAACCTGTGAAGCGTAATAAACCCTACTCCTCTCCTATTTCCTTCCCAATTCTGGCCGCTCAGTAGTGACGCAGAGGCGCGTAGTGTAAGAGGCGTGTACGCGGAGATACTACCTCGCGGTCCTCTTGACAACTTATTGACGAAACGAGGCATGCATAAATATAGCGCCCTCTAGACTACAGAAGGCTCTGATAAATAACGAATATTAATGGAGGATTAGTCCGGAAAAGCGCTCAATGCTGAACGCCGTGCCGTCGCGTTCCGCAAGAAATCGAGCTCCGTTGGTCTAGTGAAAGTTATCCCTACAGCTGGTGACTACCCCCTCCCGCTGCATGGTGAGATCCGCCACTCACCTAGACGTCAGTAGTCAAGGCCTTTCCTCCTCCAGGAATCTCCCCCAGCGGGGTATCGCTCCAGCCAGAAGCAGCTCTAAGCTCCCGATTGGTCTTCAGACATGTGGGATAGTGTAATGCATCTAAGTGTGTTTGTGGTGTGTGTGTGTGTTTTTTACATGGGCAGGGGAAAATCTTCTAAAGACACTGCGGGGCCCGCAACCCGCAGCGTGTGGGATTCATAGCTA